ACTCTAATAAGATACTATAAAGCCTAAAAAACCTTCATTGATGATCCCAAGCCCCAATGATAAAAGTTGAGTTTGTGTTAGATTGAAAATAAATAGTAAAACTTACGAAAAGTTAATATATAAATCTAAATTTAAATTCCATTTTCCCTAAAAGCGATGCACTAAGACCTGTATATGTATGTATTATATATATTACTTTTCATGGAAAACCATCAACTTAGCGTGTGCCTAAGGGCAATACATCATTAATCATTCCATGACACAAATAATGCGCACCATTTCGATGCGTCATGCCTCGTCATGTAGATTGTGTCGAGGGGATGTCACATGGCATGTGTTATTTGGATAATTGACTTGTATGCTCCCATTGTTTCCTAACATCCTATGGCTTTCCCAGCATGAACCTTTTATAGTCATTACACTAAAACATATATCTGTTTAAGGCAGTTCTTATGAATATCAATTTTTTTTCTTTGGTAAACGTTGTATTAGTTCATCCATTTCTTTTTTTTTTAATTCTTTTTAATAACTATTTTTAATCCCACTTGAGGTGCATAATCACAGCATGCCTTTACTATCACTGATCATATTTATCTCAACAATTTTATATTTCAACTTTTTAGTAGTGTCTATCACAGCCTATTCCTATTATGAAACTGTTTAGCATATCTTAACTTGCAACCTTCCTAATATCCTTGGTGTGTATGTGTCTGTGCGCGCGCACGCGCATATTTATGATGACAATGTTTCTTTGGATAACTAGTTTAATCTTTTATAAAAAAATATTTGACTTGTAAAAAAAAATGTAATACTTTGAATTATAGGTGATTAAAGTGTTCAGCGTTTGAATTTAAGCATTGTTTTTGTTGTATTTAATACCATGATGTTCTAAATTTTATCTAATAAACTTTAATATTTATCTACATTTTTATTCATAATTTTTAATTATTTTGTGTCATAGTTAACATGGAGTGTTTCGCGCAAAATGCTATGAGCTATGGCTCCAAGAGATCTTTGTATTATGATGTGACATTCACCATGAACAAACACAAATGGGAGGAACACCAATTCATTTTGCAAAAATTGGGAGGTTACTTCCCGGATAGAGTTTGATCTAAAATACTGAGGAAAGATTAGAATGCATAAGCTAAATGTATAAAAAAAAGCATTCAATGGAAAAAATTGCTCTAAAGTAAGAAAATTTGAGAAAGCTGAAAAATTATTAATCTTTTATAATAAGAAATTACGAAAAGAGGCAAATTAGAACTACTTAATTGAGCCAAGTATGATGTTAAAACGTTAAATCTATTAGAAATTTATTGTAGATGTTTTACAAGACTGCAAAAATAAATCACATACTGATAAAGGAACTTGGTTGTGGAATTAGAAAGTCATACTAATTAGGTTGAGTTGCCAATAAGTGTATTCAAATGGCCAAAAATGGGATGAAATAAAAGGGCCTAAATAAGAATTAAGTTTTTCAAGGTTCATAATCAAAGAATATGCTTCTAATGTGGGTTTAAACGTTGTAGTTCATCTACCTCATTCAAGCCAATGGAGAGTCTTAATTGAGGTCAGGTTTTCATCATCTATGACATTCTATAGCAGTGGAGATTCTCACCTCACAACCACTTGGATGGCTAGGAAATATAAAGTCGGCAACTTTGAACTCCTACAAGACAATCAGAATATCATAAGCTTCTTTAACAAATTTTGAACGGTATCAACTCCAAATCTGCTATGACTCATCATGACTAAGGCCTGATAGAAGTAGGAAATCCAACTGGATAAATCCAGCTGGCTTTCCTTTCTGCTGAGGCAAGTAATCTAGACAAAGTTTCTCCTATGAACTGCATTTATCGCCCTCTACCTCACTGTTGGTTATCCATAAGATCCTGCTGGTCCACCCACAAATACCATCCATCTATAAAAAGCATACAAAGGCATCACCTCATTTGGCACCAACAACAAAGAAGCCTTAATCCCACTACGTGTCGGCTACATGAATCTTCGGCTACATGAATCTTTTTTCTCCCTTGCGTCCTATTTAGTGTCATATTTTCATTTAGTTCTAATAAATTAAGATCATTTTTTATACACTAAGCTCAAATCTTGCTAGGTCTACCTCTGCCTTTCTCTCTAACACAAGTCGACCTTTAATGTCACCTCATTTGGCACCAATACAAGAAAAATCAAAGAAGACAACAAAGTGAGGATTAAAGAGAATATAAACTATAATAATGGGAGAGAAGAAACAAAATTATTTTGAAGAGGAAGACGAAGCATGATAAATGAATGTTTGCAACTAGTTGAGACTGAGGAATATGCTTTCAGTTAAGCCGCCATAAATAGGTTCAATTGCAAGTGGCATTCCGGTAGAACTAAATGATGATAATCTCATTATTAGCTAACTAAGGCGTGAATCTAACTTAAGCAAAATTGCCATTATTTCCAACATGCTTAAATACAACTGCGTAATCAAACATACTCTCCTCCCATACTCTAAGGTTATCCTTCAACTCTTCAGAGCCGAGAGCCAAAATCTTTTAGAAATAAGGAGCTTCTACAACTGAATGACATAAAACTATATGACATGCAACAATATATGGGAAGACAATGTAGTTGTGGACCATTTCATTAGTGATAACCTCCATTTTACCAAAAAATTCAATGGGAAATTTACAAACTTAGCACAAAACTCTTATATATTTACATATCTCACACCTAAACTTTCATATTTACATACATCACATTTGATGTTTTAATCCTATCCCTAAAAAGGTGTATTTCACTTTTAAAAAGTGGTTATAATACTATTTTTGATGTAATATTAAAGATTTGAGTGATATGTGTGTAAATATGAAAGTATAGGTGTGAGAAATGTAAATACATAAGAATTGTGTGCTATGTAAGTAATTGGCCCGAAATCAATTTAAACAGACTTACTTGGGTAGCTGAGAAATTATTGATAAACTCTATGTATGTTCTTAGTAGCTCCTTTTTGAAAGAGACTGAAAAATTCTATTAGTTTTATGATAGTTTTTTAGGATCACAACCTAAATAAGTCTACTTAAGTGACAGGGCTAATGATCATTAAGAAAAAAATTATGCCTTTAAAAGCGACAAAAATCAAATACATTAGAACTAATAATGACTATAAAAAAATTAGAATATATAGAAAATGTGTATCAAGGAAAGCAAATTACTTAATTTTTTATGCTTTAGGTCTATTTGTTTATGTTTTTTTTACTTCGTTTACTTCAAGAAAAGTAGATATAATATTTTTTGAATATATTAATATGTTTGAATATAAGCTCTTTTCCTACTTTATGTATAAGAAAAGGCTAAAATTGTTTTCAAAAGTAGCTTTTTCATAGCTAGATTTTCTTTTTTATGCACTACAATAACTTTATAGAACACATTTGACAAAAGCAGCGTTACAAACAAATAAATCCTTCTGTAATAAAAATGCGTTAAAGGAGAAGAAAATGGATCTATTTAGAAAAGCTAAACAAAAAAAAAATTAAAAAAATCCTGAGATTTCGCTCAAATTAAGAGAGCAATATGCTAAGATAAAGAATCCTAGTTAGAAATGAAAGGTATCAAGAAAATATGAAAGTGTTGCTTCGAGAAATTATTAAATTGATAGTTTTTACAAGGAAATTGTTTTAAAAGATCATAATGAAAAAATAATGAAGTATGTTGTGTATTAATTAAGAAGAAAGAGGTGGAGTTAGTTCTGAAGAAAATGCATAATAAGCCAATAGGTTTAAATAAAATGCCTATTAGAAGAATTTTAAGGGATTCTACGTACAACATTGCACAATAAGGGGTGTGTCTCGTATTTACAATCAAAATGCTAAGTTTGTAAGGGAATCTTTAAAAATTAGTTAAACAATGGATTAAAACTAGAAATGACATCCCAGACCTACGAAGATTTACAATCAAAATACTGGGTCTTATATCTCATCAGCAGAGTGTGAGCAAATACATATAAAAAAGCTCAAACTAAGAGAGAAATTATTTGATTATTTCAAGAATGATCTAATTGGTATATATTATATTCTTATGTACAATACAGGAGTAAGAGATGAACATTTGTAGAAGACATGATTGAAATATAATAAAGATTCATAACTTTGTTATGATGTGCCATCAAATAATGAATAGTTTATTCAGAATGACAATAAAGTTATAGAATCATAAATGTAAGAGGAAAATCCCGATGTGGATTTTTTTATAGAGGAAAAATCAAGAAAAGCACAAGTCAACAAGAAAATAACAAAATAATTTACCATAAAATGTTATATAATTGAAATTATAATCATCAATATAGTTACTAATATAAATTTTAATTAATGTTCTTATTACTTTTTATTGATTAGGAAAGAAGATAAATGAAATAAAAGATGAGAAAGATTGAGAGGATGCTGACACGGACTTAGAAAAAAAAAAGAATAAAATATAATTCATTATATTAAGGACTTTTAATGAAGATTCATTATAATGAGCGTAAAAACTTTTAAATTCATAAACTATAATCTTAGCAACAACATGACTTCTTCATGTTGATTTAGAGTTAGGGAGGCTAATTGTTATGATCTTAATCTGATAGATTTGATATTAGTATTATACTTCTTATTTCTTTTTTTATTATTATTAATTTAACATTTTGAATCCCAGGCTTAAGCCTAACCTTGCAGACAAAAAGGACTCAATATCCGATTGTGCAATTTTAAAAATCATATTCTATAATAGTGAAAAAATCTTTTTGATGAAATTTTGAAGACTACAGAATTTCAAATAATTAGAAAAATTGCTTTTCAGCCAATATGTAAGAAGAAAAGAACAGAAATTTTCCAGACTATGTTAACTATAAGAGAATCAAAATTCTAAGATAAGATAAACCAATGAGATAAAGTAATAAAACTTAGGCATAAACTAAAATTACATAAGTTTCACAAAATCAATTTAGACTCATCCTAAGAAAATCTATCATAAAAATGATTTTTACGTTAAGACAATTAATGGAGAATAATATAAAGCAAAGACAAATGCCATTATATGTTTCTATTAATCTTTAGAATGCATATGAACGATAGAAAGACTTCAAATCGCTTATTTTTTTTCCAATGCAATGTACTGCCACATATTCACAATATATCAAACTAACACTTCGAACTGAAGATTAAAGAGTGAGTTGAGTTTCCACGATCTAAGCAAAGAAGTCAAGCATCCTTTGACAGCAAAAAACTCGGGACTGCTAATAACACCCTCCTTAAGAGAAAAATAAATCTCTAAGAAAGTAACCAGAAGCTTATGTATAACCTTGAGCAGAATTTTTCTTATAACAGTTTGCCGCATCCACATAAGCCGATGCTGCTTCATGTTTGCTGTCTGACTGTACATGGAAGACATACAAATTAGACAGAAACATTATGTTTATGTGAAGAGAAATGAACAAGGAAAGCAATGAATGGACCTTCAAATGGCAACTTGCCATCTTGGTGTATACTGCTCCAGCTTTGTCCCCTGAGACACCAAAAGTATTAAACGGTAAGCCAATAAAACAGTAGTTTCTGATGTTCTACTCTAAGATCAGCACCTTCTATAAAGAACTACACTTTCTTTGAAAATCACGTAAGTTCTGGAAATAATTACATGGTCAATGCTGTAAATGAGCAAAAGGTGAGTACATAAAACTGGTATGATTTTCTCATAATAGTATATTAAATGATTGATGCTAACATATTTCAGAATAAAGTCATAATTTGTGAGGCGCCTATAAAAAATTTTGATTAAGGAACTACAATATCAGTAAGCTTTAATGCTTGGAAATGTTAAATTTAACATCAAATGGTGAAGCTTATCGCACTCAGAAGTGGAACAAGATGAAAAATCATTTGTGAGTACAAGAAAAGCCTATTGCAATATAATAATCTTTCATAATCCTAATAGTTAATACATGCTCAATTTTGCATTTTTTATTAAAATCATGTCGCTTTGAAAGTCATACTGCAGTAAGAGTATGGGTAAGTCTGAAATCTAGTTTAGAATTTCATCATGTGTGCAATAAAAAATAATAAAAATATTCATGAAAGAGGAATTACACTGTGATAGTTCTTTCACAGAAAAATAAAACTTTGAATGCCTCAAGATGTAAACATTTAAAGAGGATGTGCCTCGAAGCAAATCAACTATCTCTAACACCAACTAGAGTTAAAAATTCTATGAAGATCATAATCAGCCCAGCTACAGATAATTACTCCAAGGGGTTGTTTGTTATGTGCTTCAAAATGAGATTAATCAAAGCTTAATTCTTGCCAAAAAAATAATTTTTCAAACATCTAGATCCAAATGGCTTTTAGATCTCGTTTTATGAGATGGAATTTGTGTAAGGTAGGCCTCTCACAGCTTATTTCGCTCATATCCCCATCATTGTGCTCTCTCTCTCTCTCTCTCCTCACTCTCCCTCTCCCACTCCCTCCCTCCCTCTCTCTCTCCCTCACTCTCACTCTCTTATGCATGCACCAAAGACCCCCTCCTCTTCTCATGCTAGGCAACTTCACTGTCAAGAATCTCTCAAGATTTGGAATTTTTCCACCTACTTTCATACCCTACATCAATTTCTTCATTTCTTTGGTCATTGTTTATCCTCTCTAGCTCAAGACTTGTAAGAGATATTATCCTGCCTAACGTGGCAGTCGCGACGGATACTTCCTAAACTGTTCCAATTGCAGTGCTCAAGAGCTTCAAAACAATATGTTTCATTTGTTTATCAAAAATATTGCCAACAACAATCACTGTCTACACCAAGCCACCATACATCATCAAAAATGTCTTAAAAAAATTCCTTTAGTTAGGCCTAAGGATGTGATCATTCGGTCGCCTTCCCAATTAAGGAAAGATGCAATTAGTTTATTAGTTATTCACATAAATACAAAATATTATGAAAAAAAGAAAAACACGTCTCCCATGATATACAAATAAGCCCTGATTCTACACACTATGAGCATGTGAAATAAAACACTAGATCACAGAGAATTCTAGAGCTTTGATCACTACTAGGATTGCAGGTCGATCGTTATGATGTCACATAATCCGTCATACATCAACTTTTCCAATTGCCCACAAACTTAGGATTGTTTAATCCTCTCACTTTCCAATAGGTGGATTTCCCCGATTGTCTCCCTTTCTTATAGATAAGGATCTACCTCAAACTCCAACTCCACCTCCACCCAAGTCCAAGTCATTCAATCCCCTCCTTTTTTCTATGGCAAGAGACTACCTTGACCGCCATATAATGCCATCCACATGAATACCTCCATATGCCCTTCACCATCACTGCAAACTGAATTCACCATAATTTAGACCTTTTGCATTATATTATGTCTTTTTCAATTTCAGAAAAATGTGGTCTTATAAGAAATGGGATTATAATTGATAGAAATTGTTTCAACTAAGCCATGCTGTGTGGTATTCCCTTTTATCAAACATCCAAAAACATTTAAAGAAAAAAAGTGTCTACCGTGCACTAAACTCTACTTTCTTAGTATAAATTCTCCCTTTCTACCGATATGGTATTCCAACAAGCAACAGTAAAACTTATTGAATCCTACATAACTTTAATCTTACTTGTAACCAAACATCCTCTAAAAGTGTGAGTTATCTATCAAGGCTATGTAGCACAACCCTCTCCAAATTATCCAAAAGCAACCTAAATCCTTCATGAACCTAGAAAATAATGAAACCTACTCAATTACGTAACAAATATCCAAACTACAACCATCGAATCGCCCTAAAACATGTCACGTATTCAAAAATACATCGATTGCGAAAAATCACTGCGCAACTAACAATACATAAACGACGAAAAAAGCCCTTACAGTTCTTTCCTAGCTTATAACAATTAGCGGCCTTCTCGTACAAATCTGCAGCATCCTCGTGCTTCGATCCGAAGATTCCCCATCCCGTAAGCTTCTTCTCCGCCTTCCTCTCAAACTCCTCCCCCCTCGCAGTTTGATCTGCCATTTCGCCAATCTCGGGTGAGACTGCCCTGACGTCCCCCCTTTCCTCCTTCCTCAAACGGAGAAGAAGCGAGGACCGATTCGATCGATTATGAAAACTGGGGAGCAGAATAGCAGAAAAAAAAAAGGGAGAAATTTACATACATGCCTCAACAATTTTTGGTATTTGCATATTTAATAACCAAAGTTTATTATTTACGTTTTTCCCATATTTATGTCATAAACTTATGCATAATGAGGTTTATCTCACTTTTAAAAAGAAGTGATTGTCATGTTATTCATGTGATGTTAGAGATTAGATTGGCATGCATGTTAATATCAATGTTTAGGAGTTAGATGCAAATACATAAAAATTGTGTGGTATGCATACCTTCCAACCACTAAGCGATGATTGAGAAAAAGCACTCTCTCATCCGGCACAAATCTCAAGGCATGACATAGAGCTCGAGACAATTTTTTTAGCAACAAAAATTCAAAGTTTGATAAAAGTCATCAGAAAGTCGGATTTCAGCAAACTTACATTTAAAATGATCGGCTCAACGAGATAGACCCAATGATATCAAAATTTGTGAAATCTGAGTCAAATCAAACTCTGACCAATACATCAAACTACTTTTGGAGGCTTTTTTAGCATATTTGAAAAGTCAAACGAATGTTAAATATGTTGAGCTTACAGTCAAATCGATCGTTTCAACAAGACAAGTCCAATAAGTCTAAGATTACTCAATCCAGACATTATTGAGGCATTCAAATATTCATCAAATGTCGTCTAATCGAGAAAACCTCTTAGGGTTGACCGATCAAAGTGGTTCATATTCTTGCATTAATTGCAATCGAGACTACAAATAGAGTCAACCCCTCTCATGAAGGAAGAAGGGGTGTGGGGTTGGGGTGGGGGATAAAGTTGGAAGCTTAAAAAGGGACTACATCTTTGTGAAAAAAGCTGAAGTCCAGTATTACTTTGTCTCCGACCACCGTCGACCACCACTTGTCGTTTATTGTTGGCTGTCACCAACCGTTGCTATCCACCACTCATCACTGACCACCACTTGTCGTCTGTTGCTGATAGTTATTGATTGTTGTCTGCTCCTTGTGACAAGTTTATCCGCACATCGACATTGTAACTCGTAAGACTTTGTAACACTTTTCTATCTGTGAGACAAATAGTTGTAATTGTAATCGTCATTTTATAGTGGAACCATTCAGCTGGGTCAGACCCCGTAGTTTCTCACTTTATGGGCTCTACTTGTTGTTTTTTTTATTATTATTTGGGTGTGTGATGAATTCATGTGCAACGCTAAGATAATAATTTAATACTCTACCGTGACTAATCTTCCTGCATGCATCCATGCTAAAATCTCTCCTTGCGGTCTTTTCTCTTTGAGCCATTATTTTTACCTTCAGATTACCCCCGAAACTTCTGCAGGTATCCCAACATAATTGGCTTTTGGCATTCTCCAGAAGTCATGGATCAAGACTGTCTATTAAAGACTCATCAATTTTCATCTAATTTTAGATATAAAAAATAATTAAATTTAGAGGATTATATTACGAAAGGGAAAAATAACATGTGGATATATTTTGATTTCAATATTTCATTTCAATTCTTTTTTCTTTTTTCTTTTATTTTTTTTATTTTTTATTTTTCACAAAAAAAATTTATATTTGATTTTTTATATCAAGCACACACACACACATATGACATCAAGAAACCACTTACTTTTTCTTCAACAAATTATCGTGAGAGGATCCTAATATAAATTGTAAATAATCCTGAGGTGATCAAATTTTTTTCTCAACATAAGTAAATTGGATCATTAATTTTTGAAAGAACTAGCGAGCACTTCGATTTAGTACTTCTATTTAATTATCATTTGGATGGCTCTAAATAGAACAACTTTTGGATAACATTTGACTAGCTTCAGTAGTAAACTGTTGAGGATAGAGTACTGTTGAGATAAGTGTTAAAAGTTGATATGGGTATAACTGAAGCATAATGGTACAGTCTCGCAAACTCAACACCTATGACCTTGAAGCAATCCAACTCATATGAATACATTGTCCAAGCCCCTTCATGTGATTTGCCCTAACCCACATCACTATATCTAAAATCCTTACAAATTCTTGTTCCTCTTTCCTTATTATAAGAAGTTGCAACGTTAGGACATTACTATCCCTCATTTATGTCTTATTCTTCCATAATTGTTGATTTATTTTTCAAACACTTAAAACCCTAACCACTAGTCGTCCCCTTTTTCATGCAAGAGCATGACCAGTCATTAGGACAATACTTTCTTTTGCATCTTTTCTGTGTTCATTATTATTCAAGGTTAATATTGTTTTTGTGTCATTTTCAACATTCAAAGATTCTTTACATTCCTCATTTGGAGAAGATATTCTTACCTCTAGCTTTACAATGCACCAAGCGAGTTTCTCAAGAAAGTCCAAACAAATTGCTGCTAGTTTTATAATGCACCAATTGACTTTCTTTAAAAAAGCCCAAAAAGGAACATTTTTCAAGACATTGGTATTTCTTGTCCTTGACCTCCACATTTAATATTGGATCAAAAGCCTCTTAGATGATCTTGAATTATGCTTGTATAAGACAACGAGTTATTAAAGTCTTAAAGGTCTTGGAAGTAGGGCTGTCAAAACGACTCGCTGTTCGCGAACAGCTCGTGTTCGACTCGTTAAGAAGCTCGTGTTCGGCTCGTTAATTTCGTTCGATAAGTTAACGAGTCGAACACGAACTAAGATGTGTTCGTTCGTGCTCTTTTTCTCGCGATATATTACACAATATGTGTGTGTGTGTGTGTGTGTGTGTGTGTGTGTAGTAGTAGTATTTTAAAAAATCTAATTGACTACAAGGTTACAAAGATTTATAACCAATTAAAATATTGATTAAGAAAATAGAATAAAAATTATTAAATTAGATTCAAATGATATTTTAATATAAATAATAATTTTTAAATCTTGCTCAAACCCTTATTATCTTATGACTACATGATCAGGGTTGTTGAAAGGACTCTTTGTTTGTGAACAGCTCGTGTTCGGCTCCTTAAGAAATTTGTGTTCGATATATAAACGAGCCGAATGCGAACAAAGATTTGTTCATTCATGTTCGACCGTTTTGATTTGAATCGCTCGTGTTCGGCTCGTTTACACCCCTACTTGGAAGATGATATCCCAACCTTATCATCAACCACTAATATAACATTCTCCTTATCTTATACTTGAGCTCGTAGCATCTTAGTCTCTTCGTTTAAATTTTTTTTTTATGTATCTCAACTAACTAAACTCAAGTGCAATCAACCACTTAGCATTTTATAGAAAAAGTATTGCCATAAAGGAAAGCTCATTTCAATAATCTCTTAGATGATATTCTAGGGTCATTATACTTTTGATCTTAACTTTGTAGTTTTATTCATTTTTGTTTTGAAAATATTCTATTATCATGAATTTTACATTTCAATCGCTCACAACAGCCGCCAAAATTAGCATCAATATTTATTATTTTTAGCATACATAGCACTCAATTTATTGACAACACATCAAAAAACAATATTACCACTAACTTTTTAAAATCAAACTCTCAGTGTTAGATAGGAAAATGCATAATAACTATTGGGTACAAACACACACACACATATGTATATGCTTGCAATCATGCATAACTATACATATCAACTCATTTATTTTGGTTTTAATATATGCAAGTACATATATTTAATAGTTACAAATTAAGAAAAGTTAAATTTTAAGTAAATAAGCATAAATATCCAAAAACCTTAATAACCATCCCAACAAATCCTTTAAAATTGTTACCAATAGGTTAATGCTTGATAGGGTAGCTGAATGGCATCTACCATCACATATATCCTTGATCAAATCTAAAGGTAACATGTTATAAGCGACAATCTTATGAGCCTTCAAGTGATGGCGAATTACAATTTTCTTAACCTGATTGTGGAAATAATTTCTTATCCATTTCACCTCTCAATGAACCATTTAAACATTAATGATAAAATTCCACCTTATTTGCTTTGATAAGCTCTTTTTATCAATATGGGTGCATAGAGATTACTGGAAATCAGAAGAATATTAGGTATGTTATAGGTTTGATCGATTAAAACATTTGGAATGGATAATATGACCAAAATGGCATGATCGAATGTGTTTAATTTGTTGTACATAGTGAGATGGTTTATATCCGAGAAAAAAAAATTTTTCTCGTGTGTGATTATGTTCCACGTATATGAAGAAAGGTGAGTCCGCCTAAAATATTTTTGTCGCAACCTAACACATAGAATTCATACACATAATTGTTTATATAAGTTGGAATGAAACAGAGGGAGGGATACAACATTTGTGTATATTACATACTAAATATTTGTATAATTGTTTGCATCAAAGTTTATTGTTATCCATCCAAAACATAGGATTCATCAAATCATAATGCAGAAACATGCCAAATTCCCATGAATGTAAAGTAAATATTAAAGTCCTTCACTTGTACAATCCATAATTATATAACATCAAAGGTTTACACCATCTCACATATATAGTTATATCATTATTATCCAAAAATAAATAGGCTTTTCAAATTATTCATCATATTTATGGATCCTGAATGATTATTTCATTATCTCATTTCACTTAACTAAAACGAGTAATAAAGATAGATGCGTAAGTGTTAAGCGTGAAGTTTAGTAGTTTACCCAAACATTTAACACATGAAAAGAATGCATTATGCAAAAAAACATAATATGCATATTTATCTTATTAATAATATAAAAGAAAATATTCATGTGTTTTTCAATTTAAATGATGCATATTATGAAACTTAATACATTGTTTGGGCTCTTTAATATTTCACATTAGAAATATACATGAATACATGTGATAAAATTCACTTTTATCATAGCATAAAAGTACAACAATCATATATTCTAACTAATGTTTGAATTGGTTATCTTGCATGTCATATTATTTCATTATTAAAGTCATATTAACATAATGAGCCTGCTCCATCATTGTTTTTCTCGGTTCTTTTTAGATCTCGGAGTCACTAGTCTGCCTTTTTGTATGTCGTCGTATAATTTCTCTATTCG